TATATTGTGCTATCGTTCGTTTGGTCCCGCTTTATGGTTGTGAGACCCTGAATTTGCGAGTAGAAGATATCCGTCGACTAGAAGTTTTCGATTACAAGTTTTCGGTTATCGGTGTTTACGCAGTTTAGCCCATGTTGGATGGAGCGAACGGGTTAGTAACGAGGAGGTAAGCCGTCGTGTGTTTGGGAGTGAGTCAGGTATAAACCTGCTAGCATACCGAATTCAAATTAATAGGCTTTGCTGGCTAGGGCACGTATTGCGCATGCCCATTCGTCGTCTGCCACACCACGCTTTATTCGCTGTAGCCGCTCCGGGCTGGAGGAAACCACGTGGAGNGATCAACAGATGACGTGGAGACGAGGCATGAAGAAATGCACAGAACCATTAGGTAGAGTAGGTGTCTCTCGCCTTCCAGGTTGGGGTCCGAAAGACTCCACAACTGGTTGGTTGGAGACACTGAAGGATATGGCAGCGAACCGGAAGCAGTAGCGTTCTTGTTGTCGTTTCTTGTCAGGCCAGAATGCTTGAAACGGTGTGTATGCAGAGTTCGATTGCGTATTTGTGGGTGTTGACTACAGTGGCTCACCTTCTCCCTCCCTCAAAATAGATCCAACCCCTGTCCACCTTAAATTTGACCACTAACCTTGTGTGCACTGTGAGTTTGGCAGCGGTCAGTGAAGTTCGCTTCACCGTATTTTCGCTGTACGATGATGATGATGACATGTTACACATGTCACCAGATAGGTTGCTAAGGCGAGCGATGTTTGCCGAGGCAGGTAGCAGTTGGAAAAGGATCACGGGTGGTCGAACGAGGATGTGGCATGAGGATAAGAAAATCCTAACCAGGATACTGGGTCACATAGTCTCTCCGGATGGGGAACCCGAGATCATGGTAACCGGTGGTTAGAGACACTGAGTTCGGCAAACCATGGCGCTCGTGCATCTACTCAATATTGCCGCAAGCCCAATCTACCTTCTCGGTGATTCAGCATTCCGATCTTCATTTTACCCCTTTGTCCAAATGGACATTCAGAAGACAGAAACCAAAACCGGCGCACGAAAAATGCATGGTTAATTGTTGCGAAAACTGAACCTG